GCCGAGCTTGTATTAGAGTAGAAGGTCGCCAATTTGAGCATATTTTATCAATAAATGAATAAATTTCTCTTCAAACGACTCATGTATATTTTATTTCACGTGAATCCATGCTTCACAAAAAATATTGATAGATATAGCCCTTGTTATAGACTCTAGTCCGAATTCCGGTAAGTAACACAAAATAATGTCAGGAGCAGGTAATAATGTACCTTTGTACTATTTAGCATGTCATTTGACGGTAACAAGAGCAAATTCAATTTAAATCTATTAAATACATTCTAGCGTGTCTCAGTCCTTTACCCACAAAAGCGGCTATAACTTTTTTTTTTTTATTCAAAACAGTAAGTGTGGCACCTTTCTGAAATCTTTATTAAATGAGCAATTTTTTTATGTAATGTAAAGTTATAGCTCAGTACATTTTTTTTTCACCCGAGATAGTCAAAGTTGGGGAAGAAAATATCAAAAAGTTAAAAATCCAGAAATAGTCCTAATTTTATGATGGTTCCTTAATATATTTTAACTACATTGCATTTGAGTATGGAGAGGCAACTATCTGGAAGTATTTTACATAAAAAATTTACTAAGTATTGCCCGGTTTGTAGTTGCAGTTAAAGAAAATACATGACAAGGCACGATTTTTTTTTAATTCGAAAAAATGTAAATATTTCAAAAACGGTGACACTTTTACCTGAAAATTTTTTGTTTATCGGTGAGCTCACCCTCACACCTACCTTCCCCTAAAGTTTGGCACGTTACTTCTGGGACACCCTGTATATGTATGTATGAATGTGGATATACATATGAATAACGACCGCTTAAAATCGATCTCAAATTTGTACTTTTTCTGTAGAAATTTTAGGTCTATGTTATGTAGTTTGACTATTGTCATTTAAATCTAATGCTTTGTATTGCATGCGCTTCACGCTTTTTGTTTTCAATTTTATAATGACTTTTGCTAAAATTTCAAAATCAACAACAGGCCCTTAGCTTAGATGAAAATGCTTCAGTTTAAGATAGACTTTACATATAAAGAGCTTTTCTATTTAAAGCAACGTTGGGCAGAGAAAGCTTTTACTCTGCCCGCGCCTATACAAAATGTATAGAAGGCTTAAAAGAGCTTTGCACGTGGGCAAGGCAGTGCCTATCAGTGATTTAAAGCAACAAAATAAAATCTTTATAAGACCTGTTTTCATTATAAAGGTTTGCTCAAGCAGCAGCGGTATGGTACCGCGCGGTATAACTCCCCTGACGGAAACAAGTTATTTTTTTTTTAAATCAAATAATTGAAAGACTACTTTAAAACAAATGCAATGAGTAAATGTTTCGAATTTTTTTTTTTAAGAAAAAAAATTTGTGTCTTGGGAGTATGAAAAAGCATCTGTGAAGTCCGGAATGCAAGCGTATTCAAAAGAAGTTTGAAGTTGTGTAAACCAAATTCATTTTAAAGTAGTTGAAATTAAATGCCGAGTCGGACAGTGGACTTGTTGCTTGCACACAATTCAAACTGAACATTTGAAAGCACATTTACATGTGCGACTGTAGCTGAGCGTGTAAAATTGTTTGCTAAAATTGGTCGCAGCCAAGAAGGTCAAATAATTTTAAATCTTTAAGTCGGTTTTTCTTAGTTATGAAAAAGCATCCGTGAAGTGCAGAACGAAAGCGTATTCAAACAAAACATACTGACTTTGAAGTTGTTTAAGCCAAATTCATTTTAAAGTAGTTGAAAATACATGCAGGAAAAGGCAATTGACTGCTTCCTAGGACATCGCCATGTTAAATAAATGAATTGGTTGCAGGTAAAATAGTGAGAATTTCAATTAGTTATCATTGAAAATAAAGTAGTTTATAAATTACTTTCAAACTAATTCAATTTCCTGCCTGGTCCGTATGGCATGTTTTCTCATGAATGGATATACATATGTATATACATTTGTATGTAGTTAACTTACATACATACCCAGTAGAAATTCTATGCATAAAACATCGCTGTTGGTGGTATGAGTTTGCTGCTGTGTATACATGTGTGTGTATAAATTTGAAAATAATTTCCAAGAATCTCCACATACACAACAAACTAGGGATGCGGATGTCTAACAGTTAACATCCGCGGATGCGAATGCGAATGCGGATGTCAAGTATTTTTAAGAAATAATCCGGTAAGCAAATTAAGTTATTTAGGTAAATAAAAAAAGGGAAAAGTTAGTAATTTTTAATGTTTATTTTATTTAGTACTTGAATTTAAAAATTGGAAGATTATATTTAATTAAACGTAATGAGAATTGCATCGGGGTAGAAAATGTCGGATATATCCTCCTGACTTTCGTATTCACTTGAAGAATCTAGCATAATGGTGAGATCGTTGTTTAAACAGCGCTTACAAGCCAAACCAGATGCGCCAGGTTTTTCTAAAGCTTTTTAAAAATAATTCCTTTGGCTGTTTCAGAATTTGAGGAACCTGTAACGTCATCAGCGTTTTTCGATCTTAGTTTTTGTAATTCATTTTTAATACTTTCTGCTGCGAGTGATTCNCGTATTCAAACAAAACATACTGACTTTGAAGTTGTTTAAGCCAAATTCATTTTAAAGTAGTTGAAAATACATGCAGGAAAAGGCAATTGACTGCTTCCTAGGACATCGCCATGTTAAATAAATGAATTGGTTGCAGGTAAAATAGTGAGAATTTCAATTAGTTATCATTGAAAATAAAGTAGTTTATAAATTACTTTCAAACTAATTCAATTTCCTGCCTGGTCCGTATGGCATGTTTTCTCATGAATGGATATACATATGTATATACATTTGTATGTAGTTAACTTACATACATACCCAGTAGAAATTCTATGCATAAAACATCGCTGTTGGTGGTATGAGTTTGCTGCTGTGTATACATGTGTGTGTATAAATTTGAAAATAATTTCCAAGAATCTCCACATACACAACAAACTAGGGATGCGGATGTCTAACAGTTAACATCCGCGGATGCGAATGCGAATGCGGATGTCAAGTATTTTTAAGAAATAATCCGGTAAGCAAATTAAGTTATTTAGGTAAATAAAAAAAGGGAAAAGTTAGTAATTTTTAATGTTTATTTTATTTAGTACTTGAATTTAAAAATTGGAAGATTATATTTAATTAAACGTAATGAGAATTGCATCGGGGTAGAAAATGTCGGATATATCCTCCTGACTTTCGTATTCACTTGAAGAATCTAGCATAATGGTGAGATCGTTGTTTAAACAGCGCTTACAAGCCAAACCAGATGCGCCAGGTTTTTCTAAAGCTTTTTAAAAATAATTCCTTTGGCTGTTTCAGAATTTGAGGAACCTGTAACGTCATCAGCGTTTTTCGATCTTAGTTTTTGTAATTCATTTTTAATACTTTCTGCTGCGAGTGATTCGAAAAATTTGTGCTTATAGCGAGCTAAATAGGTGGATATGGAAAATAAATTATTATTTTCCAGGAATGAAAGTTTTGAACAAAATTCTTTTTTCAAAATCGTGGCTACCAGCCGAATCGGATCAGAATATTGTAATTTTTTTTTAAACCACCCCGTTTTTTGTAAGGATTCGAATTATTGGAATTACGAATGATGAGGGTCTCAGATAGTTACGTAATTCTTACCTAATTAAAGGTAAGACCTACAGCTTTTTAATTATTTTAGCATCGATTCTCTTTATATAGCTAAATCTTGAAAATTTCTGCTGCAAATCCCTATTGTAGGAGCTTAAGCTTTGACTTTGAATAGCAAAGAAGGCAGACGTAGCGGGACAGTTTTACCACAGAGACCTTTAGCCAAGGATATTATTTCTCTAGGGGCGTGTGTGAATCGGTAACAAAGTTCGCGGCAAGTAAATTTTTGACATGAATGAGGTGAATAAAATTTCAGTAGCTCATGAGGCTAGTGAATTTATATATTTATATTATATTTGACAAATGCATAGCAAATTTTGACAATCGCAAAGATTGTTCCCTTTTTGTAATTTTTCGTAAAACAAAAGCTTAAATTGATGAATTGCAATCAATGATGGTAGATGTTTTCTTAAAATATTAATTCCACTTCAATTTGTAATAGTTTATTCCGAATAAATCTGCGGTTATTAAAAATTTTTTGCTGTCAAATAAGATTTCCTTTCACACAGCAGATTGGCAAAACTGTCTTACCATAGTAAAAATATTATTCAACAGGGGAAGGCTGTCAGAACTTCGTTACCGATTCACACACGCCCTATGAAAAAAATATTGTCCGACAAGTAAACAAATAGTGTTTTTTAAAATTTTGCATACAATAAATTCCCTAAAGAGCCCCATTTGAAATGATCACGACAATTTGGTTTAAAATTACAGTGCAAACTTTCTTCTTTTATGTCTAGTAATTCTTTTAAGATTGGTCCAAAAAAATCATAATAAATAAAATAATGTAAAAAAAAATATTTTTTAAAAACAAGCTTTTATTTAACATGTACAATCAAAGGAATAAAATAAAGTAGTGTATTAAAAGATTTTATAGCAATAAAATTTTTTGAAAACTGCACTAAAATGAATAAAAAAAATAAGTTAAGGTCTCGTTAAAGTTACTTCAAGCCATTAAGTGAAAGGAGTTACTCAACTCTAATGCTAAAAAATCTTTTAATAAATACACTACTTTATTTTTTTTTATATTATTTTATTTATATTTTTAAGAAGAAATACCTAATGACCAAAAAATATATAAGTATATTTTTTTAAATGACGATTATTTAAAACTTGTTTTACAAACTTATACTATATACCATGGGCGTAGCCAGGAAATTTTTTAGGTCTTTTTTCGAGGACAATTTCTCAAAAATAAATGAAAAAATGAGGGCATTTTTTTGAAAAAAAAAGTAGGACATATTTATTGACTAGAATATTGAGAGATACTTTAAAAGTATCATTTTTTGGTTTCTCAAAATAGAGAAACATCGTTAGTATATGAAACGAATCAAATTGATTTTATAAATTTTTACCATTGATTTCGCGTTTTATAAAACCAATTTTCTGAGATTTTCAGCAAATTTCCTGAGGACTTCATCTACTATTTCGGTTTTTCTTTCCTTTACCATTTTCCGATGCACACTGAGCATGCATAGTCCTGAAAAAAATAAAAACATCGTTATCATATGAAATGAATCAAATTAATTTTCTAAAACTTTACCATTTAGTCGATTTTCGCCCATGGTTGATCTTAGCCAGGTTTTAACACGCCGCAAAGTGCTGAACGACCTTTCTACGGTGCAAGTCGTGCAAGGTAGTGCCAATAATATTTCCAATGCATGTGATACAGCAGGAAAAAAGGTGTCCGCTTCCGTGATTACGTCGCACACTTCCAAATTTTCCATCGCTACTCCACTAAGCTGTTTGTCTTTCCAAGTGTTATACCATAATTCAATTTCTGCACTTAGATCCAATTCATAAAATTCTGAAAATGGCTTGATGTCTTCTTTCAAATCGCCAATACTTTTTTTCAACATAATGTATGGATGCAATGTGAGTAGTGAAAATGCAGGCAAATTGGATGACGCGAATCGATTTGCAAGCGATGATATCAACGAATCCAAATACGGAATTAGCAACGATATTTTCCAATAATCATTTGGATTCGATGCAGGTTGATTTGAACGATGCTGCTGTCGTTGGGTTAGTCTGGGCATATCCAATTCAATATCAATCGACTTCGCTATTTCTTTTGCCTCGTCTAGAATTTCATCAATCAGGGCATCTACAGCGGTTCGATGGCTAGAGATAACAGTTGCTATTCTATCAAGATGGTCTTTGCATTTGAGCAGGTCAAGACTTTTAGATTGAAGACCATTCACGACAGGCTCAAGAATATCCGAATATTTGGCAATTATTGAAGTGCATATGATAAATACAGGTTTCGTTGCTGCAGAGTGTAGCTGAAATGCAGCTGATCGCGTTTTTGCATTGCCTTCGGTGGATAAAGTCAGTAATGCGTTCACGATCTCAACGAAATTTTCTTTAAAAACAGCAATGCTCTTATGTTTTTGAGACCAACGAGTTTCACAAAGGGCGGGTATGTTCGGAGCACACTTTCGCCGTAGCACTGATTCTCGGAAAAATCTTATTATGTCTTTGATGGTGCCAATAGTGTTTCGTACTTCCGGGACCGTGTTCAAATCATTAACAACAAGGTTCAATGTGTGGCTTGCGCAATGGAAAAACAATGCTTTTTTGTATTTTTTTCGGATATGTGCTTGAACGCCTCCTTCTTTTCCGGCCATAGCACTGCAGCCATCGTACCCTTGCCCAACGCATTNTGTGGCTTGCGCAGTGGAAAAACAATGCTTTTTTGTATTTTTTTCGGATATGTGCTTGAACGCCTCCTTCTTTTCCGGCCATAGCACTGCAGCCATCGTACCCTTGCCCAACGCATTTGTTCGGTTCAAGTTCACAGCTCACGACTGCGTGATCAATTTCATCTGCAATTGTTGGAGCGTCCATCGCATTTAGTTCAGAGAAACCCATGAATTCTTCTCGTAGTTTTGCTTGGCTTTTGTCGTAAAATCGAATACCCAATGACAGTTGCTCTTTTCCTGATATATCTGCTGTTTCATCAGCCAAAATGCTGTATGCTGATGCCTTTTTAGCGTCAGCAATTATCATATCTTTCACTACCTCGCCACATAATGCAATTATCTCGTTTTGAATTTCTGGTGAGGTGTATTTCGCATTTTTTGGTCCTTCTTCAAAGTGTTTTTTAAGAGATTCATCTCCGGCCTCAATTCTCAAGCGAATGAGATCCATGAATATTCCTAAAAATATTATAGAATTTTATCAAAAGACGAAAATATGATCAATTTCAATCTGAAATATGTTACTGGAATCTTCATCTTTTCCTCTTAATGGTGAATCGGTTGTTCCACAAAAAATTATGTTTGATATGATCGAACGGATTATTTTCTTGTTTTCTTCAATTAACTTCTGATGTCCTGTTACCATCTGTAGGTCCACTGGCTTGGCAGTTGTAAATTCAATAGCAGCTTTCATTGAAGTTTGATGCCATTTGCTTCTTGCGTGATTTCTGCTCAATTCGTGCATATCTTTGTATTTGGTGAATGACTTAACAACGAATGCGCCTAAAAAGCCTTGCACTGTAGTTTTATGAAATAGAACGCAATGTAAGCAAAGAGCGCCCTTTTCTTTCTTTGAATAAACAAGCCAAGGTTTATAAACTTGTAACCAATTGTGGAGAAAGTTTCGTTTTGAATCATCGGAGTCTACTGCAAAATCGTAGTCTTGTGGTGGTACCCAACATCTTTTTAATAACAGAGATCTTTGCTCTGATGATAATGGCTTGTTCATAAATAGACCCAAGTCGAATTCGGAAATGACTTCAGTTGTGTCAATGGTTGAATCATCCATTGGAATTGAATCTTCTTCGTGGGTTTCGGTTGTTTCGCTAGTTGTTTCGTGCATTTCAGTGAAATCGGTATTCTCATCGTAATTTTCTGTTTCCATTGCATCAGTAGGTTCATTTATCTGCATTGCACTCGCACTTAGATTCGACACTTCAGCTTCACTTTGACTTGACGTGACAGCATCACTTTGGCTTGACGTGCCAGCTTCACTTTGGCTCGACAGTGGAGGAGCAACCGGTTCTATACAAATATACGCACATTTCAAAAGTATAAATCGCAAAACACTTTGAACTAATTCATCAACAGGGGACTGATCCCTCGGAGCCGGGTGTGCAGGAGTTGAAGTCGGTGATTTGAAAAAAGGCGTAAAATTTAGAAAGACGATAAATACGTCATCATTCAAAGAGCCTTGTAACGGAACTAACAATAATCACTGCCCACAATTACTTTCGAAACCTTATCATGTAAGCAAACCAAAAAATCAACAACCTCAAAATAAAAAGAAAATAATGGATCTAAAACATTCCCAAATATTTATCGTAAATTGAATTCAAATTCTTGGTATCATCCTGTTTATTAATCGTATTATTGGTCCTCTTAATAAAAATCATTTCAGAAACACTTCTCTTAAAATATCTATGTTCTTTATCTTAAACTTTAACATTACGCCAATCAAAATCATGTCCTTTGTCAAGAAATATATATTGGACTATTGTGATTTGGTTTGTCATTGGTTTCAGCTCTTGCATGCTTGGCTCCGAGGGATCAGTTTTTTGTTGATGAATTTGAAATTTATGGAACGGAGCAATTAAGAGATTTATTACTATACTTTGAACTAATTTTGGAAAAACAAAATATAATAAACAGAAACTTACTAAAAAATGATTGCACTCCTCCTGCACGTAGTTTATGGTTTTTGCCATTAGCATGTTCTGTAATAGCTCCGTCTCCTTTGTTGTCGGTTCTGAAAGTAGTTTTGCAATATGTGCAATACGCCGAATGCTCACTTGCCTTTTTAATCCATGGATATTTTTTTGTCCACAATTTACCCCATGAGGTTTTCTTTTTTTCTTTATCCATTACAAAAAAACTAAAAATTGATGTTCACAAAGCGAAGAAAAAATTGATATCACAAGACAACGATAAAATCAATTAGTATTCACACTTCCACTTTTATTACCACTTGTTGTATGCAAACACGACTTTGGGTAGATATACAAAATACTTGTGAGCGCTTTTGATTTAGAAAAAAATTACGGTATTGCTTGTGCACAATAATTTTTTTTTAACCCAAACATCGCAAAGTTTTCGTTGCGATGGCTGGTCTTTTGTGTAGATATTGCGATACCCAAATACAAATCCAAAAAAAATTATTGTGCACAAGCAATACCGTAATTTTTTTTTAAATCAAAAGCGCTCACAAGTATCTTGTATATCTACCTAAAGTCGTGTTTGCAATAGAAATGCGATGTTGAAACCCACCGCACCTTTTTCGTTGCGATGGTAGAGGCATTCGAGTCAACGATTGAGCGCGAGTTATGTTTCTATAAACACTTAACACTTATATTTCCACTGAACTTCTAATAAAACACTTTGTTTAATTACTTCGTGGTAGAAGTATGAATGAATGAATGAGTTTATTATCAAATTTACATCGCTTTATGTGTGTTTGTCTGCACCTGTTGATCGTCTAATGATCGACATCTTCTTCGACGTTGAATTTGTTTTGGGTGTTGAAGGAGTTGAAGATTGCGTCGACCTTGGTTGTTGTTGTTAGGGTAGATATCAGTGATGTGTGGTGTAACGGCTTTTCTTGATCTGCTTTGGCTGCTGCTGTTGCTATGGCTGATGTGGTTGTCGTTGTTGTTGTTGGGATGCTATGGGTGATGTGGGTGACGTATCTTGTGTGTTGTAGCTGTGTAACGTCTTTTCTTGTTCTGCTTTGGTTGCTGCTGTTGCTATGGGTGATGTGGGTGTCATTGTCTGTTGTTGTTGTTGTTGAATGACGAAGGGTGTTGAAGTTAGCTATTGTTGTTGTTGGGGTGATGTGGGGACGTAACTCGCGTTTTTCCGCTTTTTTCCCAAATTCTCCTCGTTTTTTGCGAGAATACTCTTTGAAAAGTCCTCGTTGTTTCAGCATTTTCTCTAAATGTCCTCGAGGACAAAGATTAATTTTTTCTTAAAAAACGCAGAATTTTTCGAGGACATTTGGCTTAGGTTGGGGCATTTGCCCCTACCTGCCCCTACCTGGCTACGCCCATGCTATATACGTCACGTAAAAGGTATTTAAATTAGCGTCAATACTTTTATGATCGATCAAATATTTTCCGAGATATTATAAATATAAAAATTAGAAAAGTTTAAGTTTAACCTCTTGTATTGGCTTTTGGTTTTACTGGAGCCAAATAATCTTGGTATGGTTGAAATTAGCATGAAAAGTTCTATCAAGTCACATTTTTTCTTTTTTTAGGCTAAACGGTTGGTATTCTCTACCATGCATAGAGGAGTATTTGTATAGTAGAACCGCACAACACTTTTTTATGTGTTTTTCTAATTAGTAATTGAATAAGACATCAATCTTAATCATAATTAGGATTTATAGGCTAAAAATTACTAATTACTCTTATCTTAGGATCATTTTCGTGAAGTATTTAGTTATATGTATTCAGTTACCATAAGTTCTCAAAAAACTTTTTCAGAAAAAGACAAGAACGGCATTCATTTTGCTAGAACATATTTAGGTCGACGAGTTCTTATATGCTCTTCATCCTTTTAGACTGGCTCTTTATTGCGAATAACTGCCAATTGTGCAAAAATTTTCGTTGCTAAAGTTTTAACGCTTTTTCAATTTCAAGTTGTCAGTGACTTGATTTCACCACCAACTAAATTAGCACGGTTTGTATGTTTCAGGTAAGCCTAGACATCGTTATCGACACCCAGCACACGGTGGGCAGGAAGCGAAGATAGGTTGCATAAAAATGTCGACAAAATCTGAAAGCAGGGTTGTATTTGTTGATATCTTAAGGTTAAGAATCCGCTTAAATTGAAATCCTAGCTGCTCCTGTTTTAAAGATATCCACATTTTATATACTTCTGATAGGATATATTTGCAAAAGAGGAAGGCGTACTTCTCGATAATTAGAGCATATTTATACGAAAAGAAATCTCATACAAATCTGTTCCCCTTTTTTAACTCACTAAAACGGATCAAATCAATGTGAAACATTTTCATTTTTTCCTACCGAAAGAATAATTGATCGAGATTTATTGGGCGCTACCGGTATACAACTTAGATAAAACACCACAATTACCTTTTTCTGTAGCGTGAACTTTCTCATTACAAACACTTTCAATATCGCAATATATGTATGTATGTATACAATATTGTATGCTATATAATACGGTAGTAATTTTTTATTAAAGGTTTGTTGCTATAAGCAAGTAGCGCAGGCAAGTCGCACTGCGCTTGTGCAAGAAATAAAAATGCTCTAACTTAGGCCAACGGTACTCCTCATAATAAGTAAATAAATTCAAAGCTTGTATGAGATTTATTTTGGTATTTATGTACTCTTCTGTCAGGAAATAATGACTATTGTACATCCAGAACACAAATGCGATCATAAAGAAAATCGCATGAAAGTATGCGCTTTGTGTGTAGGGCTGCCAGACGTCCCGGTTTTCCCGGACATGTCCCGGTTTTAGACTATTTGTCCCGGTGTCCCGGTCCAACCTTAAAATGTCCCGGGTTTCATTTAAGTGTCCCGGTTTTCGATTTGATTGCACAAATTTTGCTTAAAAATGACTACGCTGAGAGAAAAAAGGCGTTGTAATATTAAGAAAAATTTTATGAATTTACTGGGGGAAATAACGCATAGTAAACATGAATATTTTTTATTTGATTATCGTTTTGAAATGTTCGTACTTAAAAACAATACTTTCATACCACGCACACGTGGTGTTGAATCAAACTGAACATTTGAATGCACATTTACATGTCTGGCTGTAGCTGAGTGCACGAAGATGCTTGCCACAATTTGCTAATTTCCAGAGCGTCAGGGTTCAAATCCCATTACAGACAGCATGGAATTTAAATAATTTTTTTTTTAACTTAATTATGAAAAAGCATCCGTTAAGTGCAAAGCGCTTCATTTTAATATTGGCGTATTTCAATTGAATATTTCTATACTAAATACTAAAATTTGTATACTTAAATTATTACGAGTTGGGTTGGTGCTCTTTCATATGCGATTTTTTTTTAAATGTAGCACGTTTTGCATAAGCAATAGTTGATGATTAATATAAGTATGTACCTAAATACGTTAAAATGACATGCACAGAGTTTTACAATTATAGCAAAAGCCAGAAGTTTTGAAACAAGCTCACAGCAACGAAACAAATGACTGATATTTTAATGTTACCTTGTATTTATTTATTTTTTTTTCGTGAAACCTAGATTACTTATAAGTACCGTGCCGTACAAAATTATTGGCTCGGAGACACTTTCATCTGATCACAATTTCTAATCAGATCTTTTAGAAAAATGTTTAAAATGTAGCTTTTGAGCCAATTAGTAAAGTGCAAGTCTGAAGTTACCAGAAAATTTCGTTGATTTTTTGCAATTATTTATTTTTTGCTGACAGTGTCTTCCACATACAAAAAAATGTCGAACATAGTTTGTATGGAAGAAACTCTCAGTAAAAACAATACCAAATATATTGCCTCGTTCAAAGCCATGAGCAAAATCGTGAATACATGGTTTTCCGCAAAACAAGCGGATCTTAGTAATTTTGATAAAAATCTTAACGAACTCCGCACAGCTTTGAAAAGTACTGGAATTTCTCAAACTGTCAAAATCCATTTTATCCTTAAACATTTAAAGCAATCTATTTCATTCTTGAATAACGATGGTTTAGGATTATGGTCCGAGCAGGCCGGGAAGTCAGTTCATAGGGAATTCATTAAATTCTGGGATAGATTCAAAATAAATATGATTGATAAACCAACTTTTGTGAGTCGCCTGAAGAAAACTGTAATGACATTTTCATTCCAGCATATATAAAAACTTAACTAAATAATAAAATATTTAAATACTAAAATGTGTGACTATATTATATGGTAAGCCAACAAAAAAAATAAAAGGAAACAAAAAACAAATATAAAAAAATAAAGCAAGAAAAAAATATAAAAAAATAAAACCAAAAAAAGAACAAAGAGGTGCAAAGTAAGTTGCCTCTACGTGGTGCGCCTTGGAAACGATTGAAACCGGCTAAAAACTTACATAAACTTATATTTTCACATAATATATATACACACATTTACTCACACATACATTGTTGAATATTTAATGCACAAGGATGTTTTTCTCTTTCGCAAAAGTCGGTCCTATCATAACTATGTAAAATGTGGATATCTTTAAAACAGGAGCAGCTAGGATTTCAATTCAAAGGGATTCTTAACCTAAAAATATCAACAAATACAACCCTGCTTTCAGTTTTTGTCGACATTTTTATGCAACCTATCTTTGCTTCCTGGCCACCGTGAGCATATAGCAATTAATCGATAAAACAGTCGATGTGTGATGAGGTTTTACCTCCAGTTAGTGTTAACTAGACATGTTGCAAACGGCTATGAGTGTTAACATCAACTTCTTCATCGAAGAATGCCAAGGCAATGTTAGCTTCGTTAAATTACCATAAACGTCTTCGAAGCTTGCCTTGCACTGCACCCGCAATATATTCGTCAATTTATTAAAAATACTCTGATGCCACTTTCGAAAGAAGACAGCTTTTTAAACTTTTTCAGTCAAATTCTTACATTGATAGAAGAGTTATATAAAAAAAACTCATATCTAAACAATCAGTGGTATGGAAGACATACCTTATAAAGTACCGATTTAAATGACTTTCACTACTGTGTATGATGGATATGTAAACCGGTCACACAATTTAATGGTTTTATCTGCCTACATAATGGAGTAATATAGCCAAAACTTGTGTCTGAACAATCAGTGGCATAGGAGGATTATTTAGAAAATAGCTCCCGAAATTGCCCGATGCCAACCAAATCAGTGTTGAAAATAT